CCTTAATACTATATATATGATACTAAATATAGTGGAAAAAAAGGCAGTTTCTCAACATTGTGTTTTTCCACCCATTCTTGAGAGCAGCTTCCCTTACTGGATACAGACGCCCCAGCAGGGAATCAAACCTGCGACTCCCGCTCCAAAGACATGTAGTGTTACCACTACGCTATCCAGCTGCTCTACATCAATCGACCATAATACTATATATATGATACTAAATATAGTGGAAAAAAGGCAGTTTCCCTGTTTCCCACCATTGTATTTTTAATTTAAATAAAATATTTCTTTATTTTCCTGAACAGAAGCTGCTGCCTTTCTTTCTGTTATGAGTTTGAGTAAACGAATCTCTGCTTTTGCTCACAGCTGGAACAGAGTGCCATTAAAACAGTGCTGTTATTTTTCAGGTTGACTCCTTTCTTAGCTTCAACCAACATTATTAGCTAACTTACTCATGGACAAATAAATAATCACTCTTGTAAAAGCGAAAGGCTCAGCCTATCGCAGATCATCATCCAATCACCCGACCTTAACGTGTATGTGTTTGTGGTTATATGGCAAATAACTGTAATAAATCCGTGAAAAACAGAGATCTGCTTTCCATCTATGCACACAGAAATCCGAAATTCATATTAATCACTTACATTCAGAGTCGTGAAACAGATACAAATAGTGACGTGTAACTGGTAAACTACACATACCTGTGTTTTATACAGAATGTAACCAGCAGGCAGCCAGTTTAGTCGAGTCTCTTCAGAGTCGTGCAGTTTGTCGTCATTATTTCCCCGACAGGCTCGTTCTTTCATCAAACAATAGTAAAATGTGTTTTAGCAATTTGTGCTACATGTGGCTAATTTTACCAACTGCTTTGACCACAGCTGAGAGCCCTGTGGAAACTGTTTTCAACTGTGACACGTGCACAGCTGTCTGAGTGGAGTCTGACTTTACATATGGAGCCAGAAATGAGAAGAACAGGTGTGCTGTGAGCTGTCGGCCACACCTTGGTGCTGCTCCGACCGTCACAGGCTGATAAACTGTTGAAGGCAGTCGGAAACCCAAAGTTCCCTGAACGCTGAATCAGTCTGATTACTAGAAACCGACGCACAAAAGGTTTCCCTGTGGTCTTAAAGTGAAACAGGTGATGGTTGCTGACAGGTGAGGAGATCCATGTCGTGTCTCAGTAGACCTGTGGGGGTGGGACATACTGTACAGCAGGTGAGCAGTCTGTTCCTCAAAGCCTGTAAAGAAAACAAACTCATGAGCTGACCCACAAAGCAGACCCCACGAGTCACTCCCATATCACACCAACCTTTGTGGCACACAGTTCTCATCGTAAGCTGGATCTACTGACATCAGCAGCTGTGGGAGGAGCTAAAGATTGGCAGATGCTTTCGGGTTCCCAGTGCGGTTTTCCAATATGTAAATTACTCCAACCTCTGCCAGCTTTACTGTGGTACAGCTCAAAGGACCCACAGCTTTTATTTCATAGCAGATATCAGAATCAGAATCCTTTATTAATCCCGAAGGAAATCAGGGTTACAGCAGGCAGCACGCTAATGGCGCATG